AATCTTATCATGTATCAATGTTTTATTTGGATATATTTCTCCCTAAATATTTATAAGAGAAAAATAAAAGATAAAAATGTTTTTTTATAAACTAAAATAAACTTGTATAATTATCTTTATAGAAATTGTTTTAAGAGAATTCTAGACTAAAAAATTAAGGTTACGTTTGCGTGACATGAAAGGAAAAAGGTTGATGGTTATATGGAAACTAAGAATTGGAAGGTTAGAAATTAAAAGCGTTGCGGTCGTGCAAATCGGTTACATCAGCTTGAGCTGTGTTTGTTTATTGTCAATTTGTCATGAGGGGATCCATGCTTTGCCTCACCAACATATCGTAATTCTTAAAATTTCTTATAAAGTCAATTTATTTTCCAAATTGAGTAAATGGAGACATTTAAAGAATAAATAGTAAATAAAAAATAAAATAGTATATATATCAACTGTATAAAATATTTTTTAATTGTATCTAATTAATATAAATTATCTTGTATGGTAAAAATACTTTTAAAATATACAAAATAAATAATTTTATTTAACTAACGCTGAAATTTTTTACATTGACTATACATATTTATTAAATTTTAAATAAAAATAAAAAAATTTTAATTAAATTATTAAATCAATAATAAATATAATTTACTCTTACATATTAAATACGAACAACTATGTTATATAAGAATATTTTTAAGTACTTTTCAAATATTTTAGAGATTTGATAAATTATCCAAATCATCCACCTATTTATACAATAAAAAAATTAAATATTTTTAAATTTTTTATCCAAAATAATTTTATTTATCATAATTTTTATAAATTAAATTTTATATTTTTAAAATAAATTATCAATAATTTAAAATAATATTAAAATTCAACATAAATTATTTGTAATAAATTTAAAATATTATTTTTATGAATGGATTAAATATCCATTCATGAAAATGTTAATGAATAAATTTTTACTTTAAATGAATTGGATGTATTAATTTTTTTATATAATTTTTTAATAAATTTAAATAAATTAATGAATTATTTTAAAATTAATTCTCTTATAAAACATCTAAAAAATTAAGTATCTTATAATCCGCTTAAAAAATTATTCAATCCATTTATTTATCACCTCAAAGTTATACATCTCATTTATTATTATTTTATTTATTTATAAATCTCATCAAAATTTATTATTTTTAATCAACATCTGATTGAGTATTAGCAAAATAATGTCACTAACATGTCTCTCATATCATATGGATGTCTCTATCAATCATATTAAACCATCTTGTTGAATAAATTAAGTTTTACTCAACTTTATTTATTTACTTTAAATTTTATTTATGTCCAATTTGATTTTTTTTTTGTATAAAAGATATTGTCACCGATTAGTTGAAAATTAATTTCTTTTAAAATGTAGTAATTACTAAAGTAAGTTTTATTTTATTTTAATAATTCTTTTTCATACATACTAAGAGCAATAGTTTTAGTACTCCAGACAATATATTTAAGGAATCTCACTATTTAACAATTATATTCGATTTTGTTGGTAAACTCAACCCTGATCATACCTAATAATATTCACCATAAACTGCATAAGACAGAGGTTTTGTTGGGAAAGGGAATTATGTTTGGACTGTAAAGTGCCTTACTACATAATATCCTTGTCTTATCCAAAAAGGAGTTTTTTTTATCTACTTTTTCACTTCGTATTTTTGCCTTTTTATTTCAAAAATCATATTTTAAAGTTTTTTTTTTTTTATATTTTAAAAACTAAAACCCGGAATATATACAAAAAGGAAAAAAAAAAAAAAAAAAAAAAGAGGTGAAATTAAAATTTCCCCTTAAAAAATAAGAATCTCAAATCAGGCTTCCTAGAAAGTAGAAATCAACGACGGGCTTTTAGACTGGACCAAAAATAGGCTTTCTTGAAATAAAGGACTCTGAATCTATGATCCCATCAGAACAAACACGGGCTTTAGACTGAATTAATCATCCTCCTATTATTAGCCCATAACTTCTCCAACCTGCGTGGCCACTTAATATAAAATTTTATTTATAGATTTCAAATAAGTATGTTTTAAACAAAAATTAAGGACTTGACTTTTTTTTTTTTATTCATGAGAATTACGATGAGAGTAGTAGAATTCAAACTTATAACCTTATGTATATCTCCAGCACTAGAATAACTTTCAAGTCGGTTTTTCATGTCTTTATTTTTCCTTCCTTTTTTAATTAAAATATAATAATAATAATAATAATCATGCAATTAAATTACCATTAATTGTGACCCGTAAAATTGTCCGATGTTATTAATTTAGTTCCTGAATTTAAATATATTTTAAAAACATCTTTGTGAGACCATACCCTTAGCTGACCATACTCCCCTCCCAACTCTCACTCTATTTACATCCACAACATTTGATTTAGTACTTTTTTTTAACATATCTTTCTTTCTTTTTTCAATTTTTACATGTACTCCCTTATTTTTTCTTCACCTCACCTATTTTGGTAGCATTTAAAAATTGAAAGAAGAAAAAAGTGTGTGAATGAATAAGAAAAAGAAAGTAGTAAATTGAAAGTTGAAAGTATAAAATTAAATTTTTTTAAAAAAATTATAATATTTTATAATTTTTTTTAAAAGAAGGAGGTGTACTTATAAAAAAAGAGAAATTTATGGTACCGATCTTATTTGAGAGGGTACCAGTACAGTTTTTTATATTTTATATTTTTAATAATTTATTTAAATAATATTTATGATATTTTATTCTTTCAATTTTTAAATTATTTATTCATTTTATTTTTATTTTATATATT